GAGATGCCGAGAGGGGTCTCCTGCCTCATCGAACTGGGTGAAGGATGGCATAGTGAACTTCGTTGGTCTCTCCACAAGGTACACATCGTCAGTAAAGGGGGTCTTAACTAAGGAGTTCTTGTGCTCTCTAGCCATCTCGGCTGGTGTCTGAATTCTTAATAGCTTCTTTTCGTCGAAGGCATCTTGTACGCATGCGCTATCTGGAATGCCATTGGACCATACAGTAAGCCTATGGCTGGACTCGGCCTGTTCGTCCTGCGTGCGACGCGGGAGATTATCCGAAGCAACCGCCTCGGACCTCGTCCTTTGCTGTTGCTGAACCTCATTAAGTCGAGCCCCGTTGGGTGGTGTCCCGTTGGCCGGAGGCTCGTGAACTGGAGGTAAATTCTGGGTGGGGGGTGGTGCTGCAGCATCGCCTGGTGGTGGTTGTGGCGTTAGCCTGGCCATTGCCGTGTGCAGCGTATGAGTTTGCTGCTGACGCGCAGCTATCTGGGCGACACTCGTATCGTTTGTTTGCTGGAGTGTCTCAAATTGGTGCAAGAACTCCTCTCGCATCTTTTGCATCAATTCTATCTGTTGATTCATTGCTGACTCTCCGTTTGACATTCCAGATACGACTAAGGATTTGATTTGAAGAACAAGTGGGAGTATATTTTTATACGGTTCCCACAGACGGCGCCAAAGTGTAGGTGCAAAATTCCGCTCAACCAATAATGATTGAGAAAAATCAAACAACTCACTCAAAAACAATAAGAATAAATAAGAATAGTATATAGAAAAGCGTAGAATTGCTTGATTCCTTTATTGAAGGTCTAAGCCTTTATTTATATACAAAAGATTGTAAAATTATGGTAGGACTCGAGTTGCTTGTCCTCCAATTCTTTCTATATAAACATTCTTTACTAATAGAGTTCTTTCCATTGTCTAATTTTCTATATATAGAACTTGCCTTGTACAGAACTTCCTATCTCAGAATTTTCCTTCTATGGTAAATCCTTCAACTGGTAGGACTTGTGCATTCTTGAAGAACTGGGCTGAACATACTTTGATCTAGCTGGGCTTGAATAATGGACCGGATGTTAAGTATTAACAAGTTGGGCTGATGACCTCTTGATTCGGCCTTGATAGAGGTTGGAAGACAAATAACAGTGGTCTTGGGCTAAAAATACACTCAATTTGGGCTTGAGCATGACGGGCCTTTGGAAGATAGATTTACATCTGTGATGACGTGGAATATTCTTATTGGAGGGGATTTTTTCCCTCCACAAACATAGTGCACAAGGTCTCATAATCAGGGATAGACTTGTGTGGCCTATTCCTGAACCATTCTAACGCTGCTCCGGTTAAACTGGTAGGAAAAACCTTACACATCCACGGATCGTTATGATCGTCCAGTGCCATCTTTTGCGCATAATGATCGAGATGCCGAGAGGGGTCTCCTGCCTCATCGAACTGGGTGAAGGATGGCATAGTGAACTTCCTTGGTCTCTCCACATGGTACACATCGTCAGTAAAGGGGGTCTTGACCAAGGAGTTCTTGTGCTCTCTAGCCATCTCGGCTGGTGTCTGAATTCTTAATAGCTTCTTTTCGTCGAAGGCATCTTGTACGCGTGCGCCATCTGGAACGCCATTGGACCATACCGTAAGCCTATGGCTAGACTCGGCCTGTTCGTCCTGTGTGCGACGCGGGAGATTATCCGAAGCAACCGCCTCGGACCTCGTCCCTTGCTGTTGCTGAACCTCATTAAGTCGAGCCCCGTTGGGTGGTGTCCCGTTGGCCGGAGGCTCGTGAACTGGAGGTAAATTCTGGGTGGGGGGTGGTGCTGCAGCATCGCCTGGTGGTGGTTGTGGCGTTAGCCTGGCCATTGCCGTGTGCAGCGTATGAGTTTGCTGCTGACGCGCAGCTATCTGGGCGACACTCGTATCGTTTGTTTGCCGGAGTGTCTCAAATTGGTGCAAGAACTCCTCTCGCATCTGTTGCATCAATTCTATCTGTTGATTCATTGCTGACTCTCCGTTTGACATTCCAGATACGACTAAGGATTTGATTTGAAGAACAAGTGGGAGTATATTTTTATACGGTTCCCACAGACGGCGCCAAAGTGTAGGTGCAAAATTCCGCTCAACCAATAATGATTGAGAAAAATCAAACAACTCACTCAAAAACAATAAGAATAAATAAGAATAGTATATAGAAAAGCGTAGAATTGCTTGATTCCTTTATTGGAGGTCTAAGCCTTTATTTATATACAAAAGATTGTAAAATTATGGTAGAACTCGAGTTGCTTGTCCTCCAATTCTTTCTATATAAACATTCTTTACTAATAGAGTTCTTTCCATTGTCTAATTTTCTATACATAGAACTTGCCTTGTACAGAACTTCCTATCTCAGAATTTTCCTTCTATAGTAAATCCTTCAACTGGTAGGACTTGTGCATTCTTGAAGAACTGGGCCGAACATACTTTGATCTGGCTGGGCTTGAATAATGGACCGGATGTTAAGTATTAACAAGTTGGGCTGATGACCTCTTGATTCGGCCTTGATAGAGGTTGGAAGACAAATAACAGTGGTCTTGGGCTAAAAATACACTCAATTTGGGCTTGAGCATGACGGGCCTTTGGAAGATAGATTTACATCTGTGATGACGTGGAATATTCTTATTGGAGGGGATTTTTTCCCTCCACAAACATAGTGCACAAGGTCTCATAATCAGGGATAGACTTGTGTGGCCTATTCCTGAACCATTCTAATGCTGCTCCGGTTAAACTGGTAGGAAAAACCTTACACATCCACGGATCGTTATGATCGTCCAGTGCCATCTTTTGCGCATAATGATCGAGATGCCGAGAAGGGTCTCCTGCCCCATCGAACTGGGTGAAGGATGGCATAGTGAACTTCCTTGGTCTCTCCACAAGGTATACATCGTCAGTAAAGGGGGTCTTGACCAAGGAGTTCTTGTGCTCTCTAGCCATCTCGGCTGGTGTCTGAATTCTTAATAGCTTCTTTTCGTCGAAGGCATCTTGTACGCGTGCGCCATCTGGAACGCCATTGGACCATACCGTAAGCCTATGGCTGGACTCGGCCTGTTCGTCCTGTGTGCGACGCGGGAGATTATCCGAAGCAACCGCCTCGGACCTCATCCCTTGCTGTTGCTGAACCTCATTAAGTCGAGCCCCGTTGGGTGGTGTCCCGTTGGCCGGAGGCTCGTGAACTGGAGGTAAATTCTGGGTGGGTGGTGGTGCTGCAGCATCGCCTGGTGGTGGTTGTGGCGTTAGCCTGGCCATTGCCGTGTGCAGCGTATGAGTTTGCTGCTGAAGCGCAGCTATCTGGGCGACACTCGTATCGTTTGCTTGCTGGAGTGTCTCAAATTGGTGCAAGAACTCCTCTCGCATCTTTTGCATCAATTCTATCTGTTGATTCATTGTTGACTCTCCGTTTGACATTCCAGATACGACTAAGGATTTGATTTGAAGAACAAGTGGGAGTATATTTTTATACGGTTCCCACAGACGGCGCCAAAGTGTAGGTGTAAAATTCCGCTCAACCAATAATGATTGAGAAAAATCAAACAACTCACTCAAAAACAATAAGAATAAATAAGATAGTGTATAGAAAAGCGTAGAATTGCTTGATTCCTTTATTGGAGGTCCAAGCCTCTATTTATATACAAAAGATTGTAAAATTATGGTAGGACTCGAGTTGCTTGTCCTCCAATTCTTTTTATATAAACATTCTTTACTAATAGAGTTCTTTCCATTGTCTAATTTTCCATACATAGAACTTGCCTTGTACAGAACTTCCTATCTCAGAATTTTCCTTCTATGGTAAATCCTTCAACTGGTAGGACTTGTGCATTCTTGAAGAACTGGGCTGAACATACTTTGATCTGGCTGGGCTTGAATAACGGACCGGATGTTAAGTATTAACAAGTTGGGCTGATGACCTCTTGATTTGGCCTTGATAGAGGTTGGAAGACAAATAACAGTGGTCTTGGGCTAAAAATACACTCAATTTGGGCTTGAGCATAACGGGCCTTTGAAAAATAGATTTACATCTGTGATGACGTGGAATATTCTTATTGGAGGGGATTTTTTCCCTCCACATATGTCAATAAATGTTGACTTACCAAGTGAGAAACAGTTAAAGTTCGATTTAAGGATACTTTTTTTATTTTTGTGATTTAAAAATAAAATAAATTACACTGACTTTTTAGAATTGGGCAAATTACTCGATTAACATTTATTATTTTGACATGTGATCTTGATAAATACTCTTATTGTGTTTTTTTTTCTTGTTTTTCTTTTTGTATGACCAAATTTTATAAAATGAGAATTTTATTCCAACCTTAATCATATGTAATATAATATATTATTAAGTTGAATTTGTGTAAATTCAACTTTTTGGTCAAGGCGTATGAGTTTACAAGAAGGTAAAATAATAAAAAGTTGAATTTGTGTAAATTTCAAGATAAAGTCATTGTAATTTACCCATAAGAATATATATATATATATATACACACACACTAGCTCATAATAATAATTTGCAATACCAAGAAGTCTGATAGGTCTCTTCATCGTCATCATCAGTGGTATTAGACCACTGGCTAAGAACTGTGTGGGTTGTTTTGATTCCAAAACTTTTGGTTACTTGTGTAGGAGGAGATTTCTGTTTTACTGTGTTGTCGCTATGGTCAGATTGATACGAAATAAACAAACCTTACGCTCTCCTCTGTAGTAGTATACAGCACGCGCTGTGCTTTTGAGATCGTGTGGTGTGCGTATATTTCGACTGTGTGATTTACGCGTGAGGTATGTGCGTTGATAACCAAACCCAAACACTGAACAAAAATCTTTGGCTTGTGGGACAAAAATGCTATCTGAGTCTAGAAAAAACACAGGAATGAGTGAGTGGTCACTTTTGGCCTGCAGACAGACTAAGACAGCTACTAGCTGTAAACCTTAAATAGGACATAGCTTGCCTATGCTTATGCTGACAAGGACCAAAAAAAACAAAAATTAACCGAGGCTCTCTCTCTCTCTTCTCTGTTTCTTCTGGCCACCACTACAATCTTTTCCGGCGACCCACCACCACCATCATTGCAGGCATAATGGACCCAATATTCAAATTATTTTATAAAAATATACACATGTAAGCTTGTATGTATCAGTTTTGTAAGTGGAAGCCGCTGTACCTTGGGTCATTTCCAGCGCGTCGCCATAAATTATAGTCTCAGAGGGAAAACACGTTTTGATATCTTCATAGCGACGATCTTTTCCAGCTGTCTCGGGTTGTGTTATCGCCGGCTGAGTCGCGATCGGAGCTTGTAACAGTCGCAGTCGCCAAAGGATTTGTGATTTATCGTTCTTCTGTGTGTGCTGTGGAAAAGATTTTTGGGTTCATCTTCTTCAACCCAAATACAGAGCTTTCTGTTGAAAAAAAAAAAAAATTTCCAGAAGTTACCGCCGATCCTTGCATCGCTGGTTCCTCGTTGGCTTAAGCCCGTCGGTGCAATCATCCGTTCTCGGCCGCCCTTTTTTTCAGTCCATTCAACCGAGCCTCAACCTCTGTCCTTCTTCATCGCAGATTTATCGTCGCCGGTAATTCCTTCATCTTCTTTTTGATCTGCTGGCTAATTCAAGTTTAAATTTTTAAATTTTTTTTGACACATGTCAAATTACTAGTGGTCCACTTCAGCATCAGCAGGCAATTCCTGCTTATTCCGACTGACAGCATTGTTCCATTAAATAATTAACTCCTATTTTCTATTCTCATCTAACTTTTTTTTACTCAACCCCACCATTCTATGTGTTTTTTTTTTTTTTTTTTTTCACCTCAATCCTTGTATTAATTAGTGAATACATATCTATTGATGTGGTTAATTCATAACTTTGCATCTCGATAGGCAAAGAAAATTTATTTTTAAATAAACATAATAAATTATTACTATACATTAATATACGGTTACTTTTATAACTTTGTTCTAAAATCTCAAATTATATTAAATGTATTTAATTTTTAAATTATGTGTCACAAATATAAAAAAAAAAAGTACAGAAAAAAGAACTGAATATCACTAATGCATTTAAAGAAAAGTCTTGTTCCGCATTTAAGAAAGAAAGTCTTCTTCCTTTCTTTCTTTTGGTACTTCCATGTAAGGAAAATACTATAGATAACATGACAAGAATTAATATATACAATTATATATATATATATATATATTCCTTACCCCTTTCAGTGCATGAGAAACGTGTTGCTTGTTTGTGTTGTCATGCACTGTAACTCTGCCAGTATTTGGTGCTCTCTCAAATGTCAGTTTCTTCTTAGGCTTTTGAGTAGCTGTTTGGACAGAGAGGAAGTGGTGAGAGAAGCTCGATCAAAGATGGAGCCAACAGAGAGTTCCCTTGAATTCTTCAAGGTCTTCTTGCCAGCCAACAGCTCACAGAGATTGGTATATATATATATATATATATATATATATATCTTAACTCTATATATCTGGGATTAATTATCTTTTCTATGTTTTGGGTTAGCGTTAATTAATTTGCTTAATTAAATTTGTTCTACTTAATTTGTTGCTTTCTTTAAAGATATGTGCATGAGTTGCTTGATTTATGAGTTGTGAAAAGATTTGGGCTTTTAGAATTTCACAAAAAGGGTATTATTATTAGCTTACGATCAGCATAATTGACACTTTGATGAGGCATCAATGAGAAGATCATATATTTTATGTGCAAGTTATAAAGCTAGCTAATCAGGGTATACTTAATTTTTATTTTTATTTTTATTTTTGGCAGGGGTAGTCTCAATTCAGGTAGGAAGATTTTAAATGTGGGTGTTTTTTTTTTTTTTTTTGCCCAAAAGAAAAATATAGACCATTTAATTTCTGATATATATATGAATGCCAGAAAATTTCAATTTCTTGCTTGAGTTTTGTGTGGAATAATTGCTTTTGACAATTTAGTTTTGCATTGTAATTGAGATAATCTAGAGTCTATATTGAAAAATTACTAGGTATTGCAGAATACCAACAACGTAATATTCCCGTTCCAATAAACAATCATCACTTGTCTTGTTGACCCAAAAGAATCACACATCATTGAATGTGGTACTAAATTGTTGTTACTCGGGTACCATATATATATATATACATATACATTTTGTGCCAAGTGATGTGATCCCTTGTGGACATATTGTTAGGATGAAATATTGAATATCCATATGCAGGCCAATGTAAATGAAAAAAAAAGATATGAAGCAAATTATAGATACTTTTAATGTCTACATGTTTATGTTATGACAGTGTATATATATTTTGTTTGTAGCTCATTCCATTGGGTTTTACAGCCCACCTGAAAGAAATGATTCCAAGTAAGGCATTACTCAGAAATTGTGATGGGAATTGTTGGCCGGTCGAGGTGAAATTTTTTGGAAATGATCACCTGTTCTTTGAAGATGGTTGGGTGAAATTTGTTGAAGATAATTCTTTAGAACTTGGCGACTTTTTAGTTTTTCAATACAATGGTAATTGTGTTTTTGATTTTAGTCTATATGGGAGAAATTCATGTGAGAAAAAAGTGAAAAAGGCTTCCCATTCTCGATTAAAAGAGGAGGAGACGGAGCTTGAAGAAGAGGAGGATGAGTCCCTCATGGATGAGGACGAGGAGGAGCAGGAAGAAGAAGAAGTAGAAGAAGACCACGATGAAGAGGAAATAATTTCCAGAGGCACTAGTAGTGAGTTGTCAATTTCATTTCTTTCCTCAATGGTAGCTCGTCTTTGTATGTTTTCTTTTATTTCCTTTTTATTGTGTTAATATGTAACCAACCGTGTTCACTTGATCTAGCTGTAGATAGCGGAAATGCTGCTGTCAATGTTGGAGATGAGCACAGAGGACGGGCTGTAGTTGAGGGGGAAGATGATTATATTTTTGAAACAGGGCACTACGTCCGACCCAAGAACCCTTATTTTGTGGCAAAAATGAAACAAACTACTAGGAAGAATGACTTGGTAAGGCTTGAATTGCCTAGATGAATTGCACTCATCTTTAAGCATTTTAATGAATTTTTCGTTACATCCTTTCATAAATTTCTGCTGTTCGATCTAATTAATATATTAGTGAACACAAGGCGGAATAAATGGGTAAGGCTTGAATTACCTAGCTGCATTGCACTCATCTTTAAACATTTATATGGATTTTCCGTTATCCTTTTGTAAGTTTCTGCTGTTTAATCTATTAATATATTAGCAGAAATAAATTCATGTTTGATTCATTATTTATCTAACATTTTCTTTGTAAGTCGGCGGAATGAACTGCTTAGGCTTTAATTACCTAGCTGCAGTATGCTCATCCTTAAACATTTTAATGGATTTTCCATTATATCCTTTTGTAAATTTCTTCTGTTTGATCTATTAATATATTACTGAACCTAATTCATGTTTGAGTCTTTATTATATTACAAGGACTTAATTCCAATGAACTTCTCTTGGAATCAAGGTGTTATAGTCTACACTCGTCTGCAAAAGAGGGAGTTAAAAGCTAGAAATCTGTTATGTTGGATAATTGATGAATGCTAAATGAAAGTTAGTGACTGTTGTGGTTGGTTTTGTTGGCTGCCATTTGAGTGATATCTATCTGCTCTTTTATGATTCAAAAGTGTCTGCTATGATGCAATTGAAGTCATTGCAACATTGGGCTCTCCGTCATATAGGAAAAACTATGCTTCTTTGGCATCCTTGGGGCTAGAAATTAGAAACTGGAAAGAAACTGATAGCACCAGAACTGTGGAGAGGAGAGACAGGAGGCTTCGGAACTTCTTTAAGAGATGGTAAGAATTAAAAAGCTAGGGATGGAGTGAAATCTGAGGGATCAAAGGGGTGGTTAGCGAGGAAGTACATTACATAGACTCTGTGCTGAAGGCTGGAGTTCAAGTTAATCTGGAGGATTGTATTGAAGTTAGGTTTGAAATATTGACAAATGAGCCTTAACGTCTTCCCTGTATGCTGTACTGGTGTATGGGGAATATCTTGTCAGCTAAATATGTTGGGTATGAATCCGTACTGTACTTGTAGAAATCAAGAATAATGCAATAAATAAATAGGAGAATTTAGCAATCGTACTTGACTAAAGATTAAACCTTTGATTACTTTGAGAATTCCGTTGGAGAGTTGTCCCTTCGACAGGGGCAGAATAGGGTTTTGAAACCTTTTTATTGGACAACAACTAGAGGGACGACTTCCTTACAAATAAATGTAACTAGGTCTCCCTCTCCATCAAGAAAACTTAGATGATAATGGTTAGGATTAAATCTTACACAATAAAGTTGGAGAACCACAATCCAACAGTAGAAAACCATAGTTCCAATTAGACAAAAAAATTGAAAAGTAGAACATAATCCATAGGACCACCAAAATATAATTATTATTTTTATTAATTAAAAAAATTTCCAACCAAAAAATGATAATAAATATCTTGAAGGGTTGGTTGCAGCTATCCAAGAGTTGATTAAATTCTCTTCTTTCTGCATTGGTATAGCATGAGATTTCCTAATCGATTAAATTTTCTTCCTTCTGGGAAAATTGAGTGAGGCTTATGAAGTTTTTCTCTCAAATCCCATTAAATTTACCAATATCTATCTTTCTCTTCTTCTCTTTGAACTTTAGACATTTGATACGGTTAAATTCACTTATGATATCCAGAATACTTAACATTGTGTATGCTTAGTTAATTTTAATGACTCCTACAAAGTTCTAATCTGATAGTCATAAAGGCCTAATTTTACTGTTTAAAGTCAGAGCTAAAGACTGAATCATATATTTTGCATTAAATTGCACTCACACTGGAGTTGGAGATACTGCACAGCTTTCTTCCTCAACGAGTACGGACTGTGTTCCCAAGTTGTTAAAAAATTTAGTTTCTGTTGTCTAGTTGATCTTATACCGTAAATAAAATGGATTCTTTTTGCTTTATACCACATTTTTTCCACAACTTTTCAATAGCCCGATTCTTGTACCATCAATTTTAAGAACACATTGTCCGTCCAACGTAGGGATGGCAATTTGCCCCGCGAGGACCGGTACCTATCCCGTTTATAGCGGTTTTGGGAGACCGTTTAGCTTATTTGGGTGGGAATGGTTTTCATTAATGAAACCCCACGCGAGTTCAAGGAGAGGGCGAGGGCGGGGGCAGGTCACCCCGCCCCACCCCGTTTTGGTAGGTAAATTACTAAATCATTCTTATTTTTTTAGTATATATAGTTAGTTCTAGAAACCCTAAGTCACATTCACTCATTTTCTCAGCCGTTTTAGAGAGCGACAGAGCCTTACGAACTAAGAACGCTAATACTCTTGAATTTTATGTTAAATTATTGATTGCCCATTTTTTTAATGAATTTGTTCAATAGTTATATAATTGTATTTGAGGAAAAAAATTTTAAAGGAGGAGAAATTTTGGAACTAAAGGGGGCGGGTGCCCGTGGGGGTAAAAAAGTTAAACGGGGGCGGGGATGGGGTGAAAAGGCCCCCCGTTTACGCGATCTTGGATGGGGATTTCTAAACGGTTGCAAGAGTGGGGGAGGGTACACCTGCCCAAAACCACCCTCGTTGCCACAACTCCAACAGAATCAGTATCTTGTAGAAAAAAGATTTTATTCGAATGGGTTAAATACGCTCTAAGTTCTACACTTAATAATGGTATTTGTATTTTTGATCTTCGTGCTACCTCCATACACTAGACATAAGTTTTGTTGGTGTTGGACCTGTTCCTACTACTTCTACCTTCTCAATCCATCTTTTACTTTTATAGGCGAATCTGACATTTTTTTAGAGGCCTTAAGAAGTGCAGTTTAAGTACCATGCACTTCTTTTTATCAATTCAATGTTCCGACAAGTTCTTGGAACATCTACCGTGCATCACGATGACCTTCCTAAGTCTAGTTTCTGTCTATGTGTGGTACATTTACTGCATGGATTAGGGTTTGCAGAGATAGAGGAGAGAGTTGTTCAAATTCTTCATTGATGTTGCAGAGCAATAAAAGTACATTAATCATCATTCATATATTAAATTCATCATCAGACTTGGTTTTTCTGATATATGTATAAAAAATTGTTTTTTTCTATTCATTTTGGGATTTCTAAAAGTACAGCGTCCACCGATTGAGCATAATGCTGATAGGCATGCTACAATATTGCCTGTTTTATTACCGTGTTTCATTATTTTTTACCATTTGTTTTTAATTAAAAAATTTGCCTACATTACTTTCTTTGTCTCACCAATACTGAGTACTGCTTCAAGTTTTAGAAGGTGCAAAAAATCTGCATTGATCAATGCCATGAATTTTTAGTCTCCTTGTATGCTTATCAAAGTATTCCTCCTCTACTATTGCAGTTAGTTCCTGCAGATGTGATAAAAGACAATAATCTTAAATTACCATCAGAGATTGTCCTCCGTGACCAAGACGGCAAGACATGGACCGCAAAACTAGTTGTGTGGAGCGATAGGCGGACATGGATCCGTGGATGGAAAGCAGTCTGCAGATGGCACAATCTGCGGGAGAACGACAGGTGCATTTGTCAATTTTTGCTAGGAAGAGATGGAGATTGCACTTCCTTACAGATTCAAGTCGTCCCGGCAGGATCATGGCTGCCAAAATGAGAAAACTAGGTGGCACTTGGGAATATTAGCAATATTGAGTTCTTTCTCAATCAGCACTGTTTACTATTATCCAGCTCTAAAACTTTGTTTCTATAGGTACCCAACTCTAGAAAACTGAAAGATCATTCATTAGCCTCTGGGCTTGTAATCTAAAATTAATTGTGATTATAGCACTGTGATTGAATTGAGGGAGAGCCTTGATGGTAAGATTGTTGCATTGCGATATGGAGGTCACGAGTTCGAAATGAGGAAACAGCCTCTCCGCATTGAGGAAGTAAAGCTGCCCTCTTTAGACTCCGCAATGGTAGGAGTCTCGTGTACTGGGTTTGTCCATTGCCCATAACTGGGATTGAATTCATTATTTGCGGGCAATGCAATTTTGTTTGTCTTATGTGATTATCCGAGGGCTGAAATGTTTTGTTTGTTAATCTGCAAGGATGTGGACCACATCTTGAAGGACCCCGATCAATGATTATTAGGTCCTTGTAAGCGTTATTTGCTTGAAGTGATAGTACAGATAGCTAGAGGTCAACAAATTCTATGTACACCACAGCTCCAATAACGAATGGCACTGATGTTCAAGGTCTAGTTCGGCCTTTTTTTTCCAGTCGGCCTGCCAAAGAGAGCTTCCACAATGCTCTTGGGTAGACTTGATTCACGTTTTGATTTGAAACGAGGTAAGATACAACTAATGCTTCAAGGAATGGGTGGAAGGAAAATAAGAAGGAAGTTCGATGGAGATGATATAAGGAAAGAAAGAATAATATGATGAATCATCATTCCATCTTTACAAATTTTTATCCGTCCAAACATGGGTGGAAGAGATGAGAGAAGACAAGTAAGCTTATTGTAGAAGTTTCAATTTATTCTATCATCTTTCATAAATATTTAAGAAAGCCCACAAATAAAATAAGTGATGGGTTTAATGGTAAAAACTATTTAAAAATCACCTTTTTCTTTTATCGTACCAATTAAAGTAAATTGTTTTATGGACAAAAACAGAGAAAAAAAACTAATCTCTTCTCTAAGGATGTCTCATTCATCCATTCAACTCTCCTTTCCATTTAATTTTCTTCCTTCCTACCGAACGAAGCATAAACCATAGGTCTGGATGATAGTTCGGCCTTTGCCTTCGAGGTTGAAAAATGGTTGTATCAAGAAAATGATTTAATCTACTTATCAAGTGACCAAGTCCTATATTTCTAATCGTTGACGGTTCCAGAATCAAGTCGATGTGATTTTGAACATCAATTTTATGGATATAGTTGTCACCATAATTTGAAAAAGAATCAATAAAAGTATAATTAAGCTGTTTGACCTAGCACATTGTTCTTGCTCTTCTTCTATACTTGAAGAGTTTGCCTTTCTCTTTCCCTTGAAATAGATTAATGATATGCTGAAATTGAGAGTAAATATAAGAGTTAAAATCACAAACCCCCTGTACTTTCAAAATTGAGCATAAAACTCCTAGTAGAACTAATAACTCCTTGTACTAAAAAGAGTTATTAAGTTGCCCTTATATCCATGATGGACCCATTAACTTAGTTATGTAATGACAAAATTAACCTACTACCTTACGAAGGACGAGCTCACGAAACTCAGGCAAATTCACTTCCCTTATTAAAGGGCAAGTTGAATGAATCTCACAAAACCTATTATCTTATTTAAGGGCAATCTCACGAAGCTTGGGGAAAAACTCTATCCTTAGTCAGGGCGAGCTGAATGAAACTTGTAAAATCTATTATTTTATTAAAGGGCAAGCTCACAAAGCTTGGGGGAAAACCCTATTACCTTGGTAAGGGCGAATTAAATGAATCTCGTAAAATCTATTATCTTATTAAAGGACGAGTTTACGAAGATTGGAGAAAAGCCTTATTCCCTTATACTACGTTTGGTGTGCAAGAATGGAATGTAATGTCCACTCCAACCATTCCTTTGTTTGGTACGCAATTTAAAGTAAGAATGGACATTCCATTGGAATAAAAATCCATTCCTGAAAATGAAAACCCATTCCACAACTAAATGTATGGAATGGCCATTCCACCACAACCACCTCCATCTTTCACCACCACCGCCGCCACCGACTTTCACCATCGCCCACCGCTTTCCACACCGCCACTTCCTTTCACCACCGCTACCGCCACCACCTTCCACCACTACCACTGCCATTGCCTTTCACCACCGCTACAACTTTCCACAATCACTATCGCCTTTCACCTTCGCTATTGCCTTTTACGACCACCACCGCCGTTGCCTTTCACCACTTTCCACCACCACCACCTTTCACCATAGCCACCGTCTTCCACCACCACCGCCACCATTTTTCACCACCACTACCACCTTCCACCACCACCGCATTCCACCTTCCACCACCGCCACCGTCTTCCACCACTACCACCGTCTTCCACTACCACCACTACCTTCCACCACCATCATCGTCATAACCTTCCACCACCACCACCATCCACCACTGCCACCTCCACTACCTTCTACCACAGTCATTTCCATTTGTTTCCACCACCGCCACCTACACCACTATCTCCTTCCACCACCATCCCCACACTATTGCTACCGCCTTCCACTGACATCAATGTTGTAATACCCCTAGTTTTCAAAAGGATAAAATGGGAATTTAAATTTGATTTCTGGTGCATTTTATTTGGTTATTTAAATTTGGTTATTTGACTTATGTGTTTAATTGCATAATTGTCTAATTGTGTATTTATTTAATTATTTATTGAGTTATGATTGTTTATATGTTTTGAATAATTTATTTAATTATAGTTATTTATTTGCTTTACTTTATTTATTTGTTTTAAGTGTAATTATTTAATTAGGTATTTAATTGTAATTACAGATATATTTATGGTGACGTAATTGTTTAGTTTGTTGTTTAATATAGTGTTTGCGTTAGAATTAAGTTTAAGGTTTTATTTTATGTAATTAGGTTAGCCGACTTATGATTAGGCTGGAATTAGGATTAGGGTTTTACAGGAGCCTATATATAAACACTATATGTCTGCAAGGGTTTTAGAACCCTTTTTCCCATAACTGGAAGTAGAGAGAAAACAGAGAGGGTTAAGGGGAAAAAACATAGGGATATTGGGAGAGCCAATTAGTCTTTCAGCTATGGACTGAAGGTGTACCACGAAGGAAGGAAGAGGTTGATTGTGAGATGGAACTGGAGCAGTAGGAGGGTTGTCGGTAGTCGTCAGTTCGTCGGAGAATTTAGAGATGACGTTAAAAGGTTTCAAACCCAAACCTAAAGGCAAGTTTCATTCTATCTCCTTCCTGTAAACTTGTGTTCTGTGCATGCCTAGGTAGTCTCCAGGACTTAAACGGATAGTAAAATTTATTTAATTAACATGCTTGAATTTAAAGGAATTAAATCGCATGGAATTGAATTGTTATAAGACTGCTTTTACGGTTGGATTATGTTCCTATTTTAACCATGATTTCTCTTGAATGTACACTTGTTTTGATTCATGTAGTGATGCAAAATTACTTCTTATGATTAGTTGGGATGGTCTGGAACTTAAAACAAAGGGTTAGGAACTTTAACAGGGGTAACCGGAAAGTCAGAAAGTGTCCGGAATTGGAGAAGACGGAGGCTGGGAGAGTGGATGCGGCTCCATTGAAGTGGAGTAGGCTCCACACTCTTATGGAGGCGGCTCCAAGAGGGTGGAGCAGGCTCCACACTTTTGTGGAGCCGGCTCCTCTTTTGTAAGTGCGTTTTGCTGATTTTTTTGATTACAGGGGCTTAAATGTAATTTTTGGAAAGTGATGTGGAGTTTTAAATGTTTAAAATTAACTTATTAAAACCTTAAATAGTTAGTATATGCTAGTGTGTTAATGTTAATGGACATCATGAATTTTTAAAGATTAATGTGCATGCTGTCCAGAAAGGAGGAAGACTTAAATTTCTAGTTTGTTTAGCCAATTGAATGGACTGAAATGAAAGATATTTTAGGAATGTTATATCAAAGATATATAACACATAATTAAGGCCCAGAAATGTGGGTGTGTGATCTGGAAAGGGACGTCATGAAATTTAGATATTAAATTACATGTTGTCAGGAGTTGAGGAAGTTTTACTTGCTGGTTGTGTTTTAACTATTTTAAATGGATTAGTATCAAAATACTATTGGGGTTTCATAATGTGCAGTTTAGACTTCTAAGTGTCATTAGATCATGCACAGGATTTATAGTTAAGGATTGAATGGACGTCGTGAGATTTAAATAGTAATCTGCATGCCGTCAAGAATTGAGGAGGATTTGATTTCTGGTTTAATTTAGCAAATCAAATGGACTAATATGGAGGTATTTTTGGCATTCTAGTATAATGTGCGAAGTTATAATTCTGTTTATCATTAGATCGTACTATGGGTGTTAATTGATGAACTGATATAATTTCTGTCTGTCAATTATATGGAAATGGATGATTTAAATTGTTTATTGTACTTTAGCAATTTAAATGGAGAATATATGGCTAGAATTATATATTAGATACATAATAGAACCTTGCAAATAGTTGACTTCTATTATGTTTGTTTCTGGATTTACTTGATGTTCATTTGAGTGTGCATCATTTATAGATCATATGCATTATATGCACTGGTATGGGACGGTAGCATATTGGAGATGGATTAGATCAAAAAGCTAAGTCTTACCCCTTCATACATACGGAATGGATTAACTCAAACAGTTAAATCCTACATGGATGCATGTCCTGTCAACTAAAATAGTTGAACGACATATCGGATGTTTGTTTTATTTTCTGTATTAGGAAGGATAGGGATTTAATTAAAACATTTAAATCCTAATTATATGTTGTATTTTGGGGGCGAATAGTTGATCGGCACAATATTGTATTTTGATGGAATTTATATATATCATTATGGTACCGTGGTATGAGCTTGAGTCTCTTGATCACAGTTAGGGATGGATAACTAGGCCTGATGATGTTTCCCTGGTTGTTCTACTCGGGTTGAGACAGATTATGTGGGATGATAAGCGTCCTATAGTCTGTATCTATATCTATATGGACTATTTTAGCTATTGCCGAGCTATCTAGGATGTATCTGCGTATCGGGTTTATGTATGGATTGTAGTAGAATGGAACTTGTATGTAGGCCTGACCCACTCCTATTTTTTTTCAAGTGATCGTCAGTACCAGGTTTAGTGTTTGCTTGTGATGATGCAGATACAGTCACTCACTCTTCCTACTACATAGGATTTCTTTCTTATTTAGGTTTTGGATTTTGATTCTGTAAATGTATGTATCATTTGGGATTATTAGGGGTCCACTAGATGGATTCCCGAGTTGTACGGATTTGAAATTTTAAATTATATTAAACTTTTATTTGGAGGATTTTCATATTTAGAATTCTTTTCAGCTTATTATTTTATCTTTTATTTTTTTGTATTCCTGCTTGTTTACATATTAATTGTCTGATATCC